TTATTAAGTATTCATTATTAGTTGTATCAGATTTTTATCTAGTTGATTTTGATAATTTACCCATCCTTGCAGTCTCTCTTGAGTGACCGTGACAAACTCTGCCAGCTATTAGAACAACATCCAAAGTTGATGCAGCTGCTTCAGGTATAATTGACACCTGCTTATTATGAAGTTAAACACATTCATCTGTTCTTTCTTTTGGGCCACCACTGTGCACTTCACGATTGAGTGTTATTACAATTTTTTTAAATCTTCTTTTCTTATTCATATTCTCCTCCCTTTATTTATGTTTTGTTTCACATGGGTAATGGGTCGATATGTGGAAAGTTTCTAATAGTGCTAATGATTTGGCAGGAGAGATTGGGCCATCTGTAAGTGGGATACCAGTGGAATCATCGCTATGTTCTGGCTTCTTGTCTTTATGCCTATAGAATATGTATAAAGAAGCTTTGGAGAAAGAGTGTTCACCCTCTTGTACAGAAAATGTTGTGTTAATGGCACAATCAAATGTTTATAAACCTTTTATGTCATTGTACATTATATTTAGTTTGTTAGCTTGAGATCTTTTTGTCAGTTGATATGTTCAACTAAAGTTTTTTGCAGCTAGCGTAGATTATTCTCTATGATGGCATCACGTACATAAATTCTTCTTCTTCCACTTTGCCCTATTTTTGCCAAATCAGAATGGATTCTGGTCTCTTCTGATACACAGTTTCTTTTATGTGATTTAAGTCTACTTTGCCCTTTTTGATCTAAGCTAATAATCAGCTTAGATAAGTTGAAGTTTCGGCGATTTTGTATAAATAAGTTTCTTTTTCCTTATCTAAGCTTTCATCGTAACAAATCTGCAGAAAGAGAAAGTAAAGCATGCACTCTTTGCATGGGAAATAAGAGACGGCATTTACTGTACAATATGTAGTATTAGAAGCTCCTCATATTAATCAAAAGAGTACAATGCATGAAATTGGTAAATTGTTTATTTTTCAACGTTGGAAGCTGATGCTTCTCTTATTACAACTACAATTAATCACAATACCAGACATATAAGTTACTAAGAGTAGTTTGTTTGTTGAAGACTTGACTAGCCTCTAAGCTTTCTTAAACATGACCTTAAATGGGACATCACTCAAAGCCAAACGTCTAACTCCATCCTGAATGAATATGCCAATATCTCTACAAATGACTTTGCAGAAATCACATACTGTAGGACAATATAGCAGCTTATAATCGCGATCGTATTTCTCAATCTTGAACCAATTACTTATAGTTTCCACACCAGGGTTTCCTTGATCTCCACCAAGCGTAATAAAGTATTGTCCTGTTGTTTCATCAAAGTCATCTAGCTTCCATTGTGTTGTTTGAACACAAATAGAATTTGCTGAAAAAATGATGTTTAAATCAGTCGATTCGCGAATCACACCTTTCTTTGGATCAACGGGTGTGAATGTCAATGGGAGGCCTTGATCAATCTCATTATGTTCTTGGACAACAGCATCAAGTGGACACATTTTATCACCAATACTGTCCATGGTGAGTCCACCACCTCTGCCACGTACCACCGGTAAAATGTAGTAATCGACGCCTGTACGGAGTATCTTTCCATCAATGTCGACTACTTCCGGTGGGGATTCAGCAGCTGAGGAGAGTAAAGAGTTAAAAGAGATGGCTAAAATGAGGAAGGGAAAGAAAAGTTGGTTGATCTTCATTTTGAGGTTTGTTCTTTGGTATGTGGAGTTAATATGATAATGTTTGTGAATGGATTGAAGGTTTTGTTGAGGTTTTATAGGTGTGGGGAAATTAAGTAGTGCACATGGCCATGGGATCAAAATATTGAAAGACAATTTTTCTTCTTCGTGTTGTGTTTGACTTTCACATGATCCCAAATTTCTAATTTTAGATCAATATAACTTACTATTCTTTGACAAAACTTTGCTTTACGGCACGTTATGGAAAATTATGCAACTACTTTTTCCCTCTAGCTTCATTTTACTTATAAAATAGCATAATATGGATATTTTTTTGTCCAAGTTTCAACGTTCAAAAGGTCAAACTTTCAACATCATTTATTGGAGTTACATGTTGGCCCCCTAGTTCTGCTACAATTCTACTTATTGACAATTTTATTATTGAGATTAGATCATGCATTAGCTAAGCATGATAATTAAATAATGTGGATAAGATGATGTGGATGCACCTCACATGAAGTGTCAAAGAAAATCTCTTAAAGTATCAATCAAAGAGAAGAAAATGGAAGTTTCTTACTTGTACTGCGGCATAGGGGCTGCTGTAAACTCTAATTTTTGAAAAAGAAAAAAATAGAAGAGAAAGAAAGAACAATGATCAGAATCTCCTCTCTGGCAAGATGTAATAGTTTTGTTTCCTTTTACAAATGAACGAGTCAATTTGTGCGTGCCTCGATTAATTCTAGAGTTACCTAATGCCTCTCACTAATACTAGTATCGAGTAAGTCCGTCCACCAAAGTTTGGACATGTCTTGGACATTTGGGGCTGAGTTAGACCTAAATGTCATATCTTTAAATGATATAAGAGCCAGGTCACTTTTCGGGCTCCAATTGATCTTGGGCGTGAAGGGGTTATTAGAGTGGATTAGAGTTCCCACATAGGTTATGACATTTTTATATGGATTTAGGCAATTCTCACCTTATCTAGCTTCTAGAGATGAGTTACACCCAAGTGTCATATCTTTACGAATAGAAATCACCTGCTGATCTGATTATAGTAGTGTTGTCATCAATAATGCCAGAAATACATTGATTGAGTGAAGTCACAGGGTGGAGAAGAAGAGAACATAAAAATCGAAAATTTATAACAACACAAAGTGCAACAAATGTATTTGCACATTGCCAAAGATAATCAATTAACCGAGGAACACTTCCTGCATTGTGTTTATCTACCACAATTAAACAGCGTCTCCCATAGTTAAAAGAACTCGTACCGGAACTTTTTCTTGAAGCTTTTGTCCTTCGTCATAAATCACACCAGAATCCAGGGCAGAAAATTGTATTGCTACCAAAAGACTACAATTCTGCAGGAGTAGCAAAAAGTTTTGATTGCTTTAGAATTGTATCTAACACCCTGTAAATACCATCATAGACATGTTGTCTGGAAGGTTCGGCCATAAATTCATGAAGAATTCCGTTAATTTCAATCCAACTACAACCAGGCTTTTTCTTGATTCTTTGATCTCTCATCATCTTCACAGTCCTGGAAGCATGTTCCAACATATTACCAGAGTTGTACAAATTCCATAGCAGTACATACACCCCGTCATCGTGAGGTTCTAGTTCAAGTGCTTTCCCGGCAGCCATTTCAGCTAATTCCAAATTTCTATTCATGACAGAAGCACTCAGAAGTGATCTCCATATGACAGCATCTGGATTCATTGGCATTTGTTGAATTAACCGCACTGCTTCATCCAAATGACCAGCACGGCCAAGGAGGTCCACCAGACATCCATAATGTTCTATCTTAGTTGCACAACTAACATCATTCTTCAGCCGGTTGAATAATTCTTTGCCCTCGTTAACTAATCCAGCATGGCTACAAGCAGATAGAACTGAGAGGTAAGTTATCTCATTAGCAGTCACACCAGATTCCAACATCTCATCAAAAAACTCGAGGGCATTTCTTCCTCTACTGTGAAGTGCCAATCCTAAAATCATACTAGTCCACGAGAAAGCATCCTTCTTTATCATTCCCCTAAAAATCATCATAGCAAAATCAAGATCCCCACTTTTAGCATACATATCAATCAGGGCATTATTTACGCCAACATCCATAGCAGAACCAGCTACCTTGTTTACATATCCATGAATAGACCTTCCAAAATCCAGAGCTCCAATATCAGCACAACCAGATAACACAGCAACTATTGTAATTGAGGTCGGGCTATCATCACCTTCCTCCCTCATTCTCTTAAACAGTTCCAATGCCCAAACCGGTTCTTTACCACGTACACATCCCACAATCATCACAGTCCACGAGATGGCATTCCTGTAGGACATTTCCTCAAACAACTTCCAAGCAGACTCGATTTCCCCAGAAACTACAAACCCATTGAGCAAACTTGTCCAAGTAGCTATATCCTTAACATGCATACTATCGAATACACGTCGAGCCAACAAGATTCTCTCCGTGCGGCTATACATATCGATCAGAGCATTACCCACAATAGGTTCAGGTCGATTAAGAAATTTATAGACCATAGCATGCACCGTTTTGCCATTACACAGGTCTCGCGTGCGTGCACAAGCTGAGAGAGCTGCAACTATGGAATGGGAATCAGGTTTTAGAGAAGTTGAAACCAGTAAGCTAGTGAACAGACAAAACGCTTTAGTGGGATGTTGTAATTGCAAATGCAGAGACAAAAGACAACTCCAGGAGACAATATCTGGTTGGGGAATTTGATCAAACACCTTATGGGCAGCAACTGGTTTGTTCAGTTTGGCATATACGTTAAGCAATTTGCAGGCAAAAGATTGATGAGATTGGGTTAAGAGACCCAATGTGATGGATTGAGCATGAATTTGCTTGATTAAATTCTCATGGTTTATACATTTGTCTAGTAGCCGTTTCAAAGTTGTAACATTTACTAACAGTTTCTCACTGTTTTGAAACATCAAGTTACCTACACTTCAATATTATGTCCGTTCACTCACAGTTGCATTTTACTAAGCAGAATATTGAGATAACAAAGTTTCGACATTATTATATTAAAGATTTGGAACATTAATATCCTATTAAGATGGAATAATATTAAGCCTTAAGTATGCTTGGAGGTTGATTAACTATAAATATAACCAACATAAATCCAGTTAGTTTTGTTCTAAAAACTTTGGAACAAAATAAAAACAGCACATCTGACTATGCTTGACTAACAATGCAAATTTTGAATGGTATAATTAGCAGATATCTTCCCCGCCCGTTGCTAAATTTATTTATTTATTATATTGCAATTCATCAACTGAAATGTGCAAATATAAAGAAAGAAATAGTTTTTTTTTTAATTCAAAATGCATATAGGAAATGTCTATTACAATAGTTAATTATGCCCTCAATCTCCCAGAGATAACAAATTGAAGTCTTCTTTGAAGATAGTGAAGGGCAGAAAGCCATGTTTATTACACTATTTCTTCTTCTCCTCCTTCTCCTGCCGCTGCTCCTTCTTCTTCTTCTCCCTCTGACAACGATGATGATGATGATGATGATGAACTTTCTTGGAAGGGAATATCTGGGCAAAGTTGTATACAAAATTTGATAAGAATTAAAAATGATTAAGACTTGTTTCAAGTAAAAAATCAGACCTACAAATTAGGAAACACTACCAAAGTCGAACAAAGAAGGCACACAATGTGTCTTATGTAAATGTCCATTTATCTCAGTTGACATGTTTTTAACTTTTAAACATAAATTTGAAAGGAATAGTGAATCCTGACCTTAATTCTCATTTAAGGCATCACAAAGAAGTAAAATACAAAATTCAGCGGAAACAAACTGGTACCTTCGATGATAAATCTTCTGATGTCATCCAAATTTGCATCGATAAGCTCCTGATCATCAGCATCTATATCATCAGAGGGTGTGTGATGGGCACTAGCTAACGTTGGATGGAAGTAATACATTAGAGAATTAACTCCGTGCAACACTGCAGCATGTTCGTACCCATTGATATTAGTATTATGCTCGTATAGATCATAATTCAGTGTCAAGGGACGTTGTACCAGAAAAGACACTTGCTTGTTTTCGATCCATAATGGGAAGCCATGAATAAAGCCTTGTGGACCTAAAATAAAGTTGGCAAATTTGTGGGAAACCGTCCAACGTCTCTTTGTACTGCAATAAGTAGCAATGACTATGTGCATTCTGTAAGCGCATACAAGGGTAAGTGAACCTTGCACCTTCCCTAGCCATTTACTCTGACCAATCAAAATCTTACCATAGGTGTGATCAAAATTATCAAGAAACTCAGGACGGTCAATTAGTATAGCCTCTTCTTTGTTTGTATCAAAAGCTAAAACACTACCGTCCTTTCTAAGGAAATACAGAGAACCGCGCCAATAAACAGCTTGACTACCAAAAGCTAAATATTGGACAGTATTGGTTCTCAGTTGGATTTCTCGCCACAAGCGAGGTTGCTCTGATGAAAGTAGGTGAAATTTGTATAACATGTTGGAATTTTCAAAAAAGCTACTGACGGTTACCAATTTGTATTGATTCGGATTCGGGTAATCAACCGCTAGACTTATTTTTCCTCTACCATTTGGATAGGGCGCCATTGGGTATGGTATCAATTGGTGCTCTCCAGTCACGGGATTAAAAACACAGTAACGACTAACTAGATGAAAGTCAATGAGAATGAGACCATTACATGAGGCCAATATATTCATATAATCAGGTGTACTCGACTCAAATTGAGTGATTGGGTTTAAGGAGATTTTGTTGAATCTTCTTCGTGCTCCTTCACCATATTCTGTATAGATGAGTTGTGTAGAAGTGTTTTTATGACGTTGGAGCAATAATTGGGCAAACTCAGAATTAGAAATCATACTTTTAAAATTCTGGTTTAAAAGTTTACATTGAACCACACAATTCAAGGGCAAGCGGGAGAAGATTTCCCCAAAGACATCTATCTTAGATTCCATAACATTATCTGCCATTTTATTCTTCTAAACTATTTTTGTTACGTTGGAATTTTTTGTTTAAAAGAAAAGAGTCCTATTTATATAATACAGCCATTACTACAACTAAATGGTGTGTCTTTTAGACGAAAAATTGTAATTTAAATGAAAGGTTCTGTTGTTTCGTTCTTTTATGAAAGGATGTGTTGTTTCATTCAATTTGGGTAAAACTCATTCAATTTGGCTAAAACCAACTCCAACGTAACTTTTACGGTGAACAAGAACTAATATCAAGTTTGAATTAAAACACAATTAAACAACACAACTTTTGTTGATTAAATTGATAGATGTAAGACTGCCCTTATAAGAAACTAGAAAGGTTGAATTTTGTTATTGACCACATAAAACCACATGATCTCTGTTCAGGTTGTGAACTAGTTCCTGAGTAAGCGACATTATCAGAAATAGGTTTACCTTTGGAAAAAAAACGAACCGATTAGATGAAAATAATCTTGTTTATTTTCTTGGAGAGCAAGCAATTTAGAAATGATCTGAGAAATAAAGATACTTTACTATGGGCCTAAAATCAGGAGTGTATCTCATTTTCTTTTCTTTCTTATTTTAAATTTAGCCAATTTGCAGAGTTATATCACTTATCAACTTATGAATAATTTGAGTGTTAGAATTTCATATCCATTATTGTATTGATGTGTCAATATGTACAGATCAATTCCACAACTATGCATACTTGAAGGGATTTATGGAGTCCTAATATGGAGAATTTATCAATGAGGTAGAAAGTGACAGGTTCTTCATAATTGTTATAAAAAAAATTGATTCTTCTATATCACATATTTGGACCTTTTGATTCATCTATCACAATTTTTTTGACCTTGAATCAATGTTTCTTTTATGGACAGAAACCTAAGGGAAAATGGAGCTTCGAATTCGGCGGGTGATTATTAGGTGGATTCGAGTTTGGGTTGGGATTTGATTGGTTTAGATTAATTAAATTTTTAACGAACCACAGGCTGCCACATATTAAATGAAACTCTAATTTTATATGTTAACAGAGTTGTTTGTGGTAAGGGTATTATAGGGTCGTAACGATTGACGTTAGGAGTATTATAGAATTAATTGGTCAACGGAGGATATTTTTTTACCAATTTCAATAGTTTAAGGATATTTTAGGATCTTTTCCGTTTTTATTATTTATTTTGAGAAATGATTTAAATTTAAAACTATCACATTAAGCAATTTAATAAAACAAATATTTAATAATTTTACTTTGAGAGAGTTATTAAAAATAAGGGTAAATATAAGTCAAATGATTAACATCGAGAGTATTTTTGAGTCAAAAAGTGAACGTCAGGGGTATTTTAGCATTGATGGATAGATGGGGATTATTTTGTACCAATTAAATACTTAAGGGACATTTTAAACCCTTCTTAGCTAATAGAATGGATGAGCTATATAGAATTTCTTTATGACTTTGATAATGAGGATGAAAATCATACTTTAATATATTTGGATAGAAATTTATATTGAATAACAATCTTCAAAGGCAAACTGGGGATAACCTTCCCTAAAAGTATATCGTCCTGCAATTCCATAACATATGTAGTTATTTTCTTCTCTTCTGTTATCTCGTTTGATATGTTTTTGAAATTTTGTTTAAATAAAGAATTTTATTTAAAGGAAGAGGAAGAAAGAGGTTGGTGTCTTTTTAAATGAAAGAGTGTCTTTGGAAACCACTTGTTTTATTTGAATTTAATAACTAATTAATGTTAACTTTTATTGAGAATATATTTCTTCGGTTAAATAATAATTATTTTAAATAAAAGAAAAATTTAAAAAAACTGAAACGATGTGTCTTTCATTCTCTAGTTATCACTAATTTTCCACTAATGTGCATTTGAAGAGATTCAACATTATTAATTAACGGTTAATATACTCTCCGTTTCTCTCCATCCAACTTTGCTGGTCCAAATTTACTTTGGAACATCTTTTAAAAAATAATAATAACAAATAGATAATTTTAGTATATATTATAAGGCATTAATTTAAAAATGAATAATATTTAATAGCAAAGATAAAATAAACACAAAATAATAAATTATTTCTTTCCAAACTAGACAAGTAAAGTTGATCATATACTTGCCGGATAAAGATGGACGGATGAAAAGTAATTAATACTAAATGTTTTTACTTTTTACTATTAATCAGAATGTTAGTTTTATATTTGTATACCATAAAAAAGTTATATAGTAGGAGTAGTAGTATATGATCGAAGGCCAAAGCTATCACTTTAATTAATTTCTACGAATAGTAAAGTGCAGCACCTAACAATCTAAGGTTGAAAAGATTATTATTTCAATGGAAATAAAAATTAAAGCGCAATATAAAAAGATATATCGAATGAATAAAACCATAAGTATTGTCATTTATTTTGATCGATTGTACATCTTTCATGATCTTTGTTCATAACGGTAAAATTTTCATTTAGTTTGATTGATTGTATTGAATTCTTTCATGAGCCTTAAATTCCTATTTGTAAAGATTGTCATTTATATTAATTGATTGTAATGATTTTTTCCCCTATATTAATAGCCATTCAATAATGTATACTGCTAGTGAAAGGAAACAATTATTGATATTATTATCTTAATGTATCTGAGTTTCCTTTTGATTATTTTTCTTGACACATTGCAATGGCATATAGCTTTCCACACAATGCATCATTTCCGAAAAAATGTCGCTATAACATTTACGAATGGCGATACTAAAATCTTTCATTTATTGGAATTCATCACTTGAAATGTGCAAAAAAAAGAAAGAAGTTTAGTTCAAAACGCATAACGTCTATTATAATATTACCAATGCCGCCCTCAATCTCCTTAGTCGTCTCTCAGAAATAACAAATTGAATCACGTTTGAAGATAGTGAAGGACAGAAAGTCGCGTTTATTACAGTATCAAATGCTAGAATACTACCATCATCTCTGAGCCAATACAGAGAATCGAGCCAATAAACAGATGGACTACCGTAGGCTAAACATATGAAAGTATTGGTTCTCAGTTGAATTTCACGCCACAAGCCAGGTCTCTCCGATGAAAGTATATGAAATTTGTAGTACAAGTTAATGTTAATTTATTTCTTAGTAACCATCCGTTTTATTTGAATTCAACAGCTACTTAACATTAACTTATTTCTTAGTAACCATCCGTTTTATTTGAATCCATCTGCTACTTAATGTTAACTTATTTCTTAGTAACCATCCGTTTTATTTGAATCCAACGGCTACTTAACATTAACTTTCACTGGAAATATATTTCTTAATAACCACCCGTTTTATTTGGATCCAACGGCTACTTAACGTTAACTTTTACTGAGAATATGTTTCTAAGTGATCATCCATTTTATTTGAATCCAAAGGCTACTTAATGTTAACTTTTATAGAGAATATATTTATTTTGTTTAAATGGTAATCTATATCTATATATATATCTATATTATCTTAAAAATATGAACTCCTAACTTGAATGTTAAATTACTATAATATTCCTAACTTATGTTGTGACTTTTTTGATAAGTTGCGATTTTCTCAAAAGGGTTGTGAATTTTTCAAAGAGTTGTGACTTTTCAATCAGTGTGACTTTTTCAATGGTTGTGACTTTTTCGATGAGTTGTGACTTTTACGATAAATTGTGACTTTCAAAGGGATGTGACTTTTTAAGTTGTGATTTTTCCAAAGGATTGTAATTTCTTGGAAAGGTCATGATTTTACAAAAAAAAACTTGTTCACATTATTCTTTATTGACTATAAATAGAGGAGCTTCCCCTCATTTTTCGACCACAATTTGTTTTATAATCTTCTATTTTTTCTCTTCTTACATTTTTAATTTTTTTTTGTGTGATTTATTCTCGATTAGTGAGTTTGAAGTTTAGCAGAATATGAGGTATCACAATTTTGATGAAGTATATGGTTCTATTCTAAGAGGGTATATTCCCACCCTTGAGTATTTGAGGAAAATAATTATTTTTTTGCTTAATATATACATTAGTATGTAATGTTCTAATATATGAAGTTAACATTATTTATATTCTTTGTTATAATATTATGAATTCTATATACATTAATTATATTTATTTTTCATCTTTCTTTATATTAGCTCTTGACCAATAATTTTTCATATTATTATACTGCCCTATATATGTGATAATATCGTGTTGTTATTTTTTCATTGACGAATCATGCTTAGTTGAATATATTGAAAATGTTTACAAGTATATGGACTATATCTTTATTTGGTGTAAGATGAACAAGTGATTGTACGTATGATTTCAAAGATAGAATATATTCTTAAATTTTAATTTTTTGTTTATTCTTTAAAAAAAAGTTTCTAAGTTAATTATGAAAAGTAAGATGACTATGTAAGATGACTATCTTTGATTTATGTACACAATCAATTGAGAAGTCAAATATATGAGAGTCAACAACGTAAGAAAGTATGTCCTCTATTATGTTTTAACTTATAAAATATAAATTAATATATAAAAAATAATTCTGAAAGATAAAAATGTAGTTGTTCTATTCACATGTTCCTATAACATCTAAACAGTTTAACGTAAAATATATACAAGTGCAAAGCACATCTTGTTAGATGACAAGAAAAATACGCAACAAATATCGTCTTTATGATAATATTAGTGAAATATGAGTCTATAACTAATTACATGATTGAACCTCATCAAATTCAAATAAATATGTACAATATTACATTTAACTAATAAAAGTTTTCATTGACTATCTTTATTAGTTCGTGTAAATAGGAAATATATATATATATATATATATATATATATATATATATATATGACGATCCACATTAAATATTCACAAAAAGTAATTATAATATTATTTTGTGCAAAATTTACTATTCAAATTTTCACTTAGATTTTCTAAAATAATATAATCACGTGGAACGCAAGTGTATAAAACTTAGTTATTTTAAATGAAGAAGGGTTTTCTTTGGTTACCGCTAATTTTATTTAGATGCACAGTGATATATGGAAGTTGGTGAAAAAAGATTTTCCATTCTTTGAGAACTCACCATAATTTTCCATTAATGTGCATTTAAAGAGGTTCAGCATTATTATTATCATAATAATTAATAGTTATTGTGCTCTTTCCGTCCAGCCATATTTGTTCAAATCTACTTAGAACGTCTTTATAACAATAATAATAATAATAATATAGATATACCATCCCTATAAATTACAAGTCATTAAAATATTGAAAATGAATAGTGTTTGATAGCAAGGATAAAATAAACACAAAATGATAACTTATTAATCTTCAATTAAAATCATCTCTTCACTCATTTGTAAATTACTTTATATAATTATAGAGCATACTCTTGAAGTTGCATTTCAATGTAAAGAGTTTTAAAGGTAGAATTGATAATCCTAAACTTCCCCATACTTTATTGTCAACAAATAAATTGTTACCATCAATATGTTGGCTGAAAATTGTAGGCATCTGAGTTATGGCATGAAATCCAACTGAGAGCCGATACTTTCAGCTCTTTGGTCTTTAATTCTGTATAAGTAACAGTAGTGTTCTAGCTTTTAATACGAAGAAAGAGAAGGCTATACTAATTAATTGACGGTATTGAGTTTATATCATTGTGTTTGCTTCCATTGTAAAAATTTGAATGGTCGTGATGGCACACCATGATCAATAAACTCACGATATTTAATTAGTATACCTCTTTTTTCTTTGTATGAAAAGCAAGAACACTACCTTCACTTCTGATAGTTTAAAAAAAAATATTAATTAGAACCGAAAGTATTGGTTCTCAGTTGGATTTCACACCATAAAAAGATGAAGCTAAGGATCATGATCATGCAGTAGAGGATCTGAAAATTACTTGATCTACTTGAGATATCGTATGCATCAAAATATATGATGCTTAATTAGCCCTAACTCTTTCGTTGGACGATTGTTGTTTAGTTCTATTAATTCCCAATATATATATAAGTGGATGAAGAAACTCTTAGCTAGTCCATTATCTGTGTATATTTCAGCTCAATATAGACTGCTTGAATGAAAAATATGCACATACTTTGTCCTCTTTTTTTATAGAACAAGTAGCTAATATCAATAAAAGCCATTTAATGTATACTCCAAGACCCAAGTCAATGCCTGTGTTTTATAAATTGAGGAGTAGAAAGTGCCTAATCTTCAAGAAAATATTAGAATATAATTACGATTACATCTGTTCGAACAAGTGCTGCATCAAATATATGACAGGGGTGATAGATATAGCGCACCAGGGCTAACTCAACCTCAAAAGCGGGGAACATTTCCCAAGTCCATATAAGAAGACCAAAGGATCCATCCCCTGATGTGAGAAAGGGGTCTTTCATGTGGAATGAGAAATATAGGAACTCCAGTATATCCTATATTGAATCAGTGAATTTACAGAGAAAAGATGGGGAGTTGACTCAAATAGAACAGTTCTGGTTAGTCAGCCCAACTCTTGATTAAGAAAAAGATTAGTTGATATGTCCTTACCTTGCACCAGAAGTTTGTGACTTTTTCAAGAGCTTCTGCAAAAAGTTTTGATTGCTTTAGAATTGTATCTAACACCCTGTAAATACCATCATAGACATGTTGTCTGGAAGGTTCGGCCATAAATTCATGAAGAATTCCGTTAATTTCAATCCAACTACAACCAGGCTTTTTCTTGATTCTTTGATCTCTCATCATCTTCACAGTCCTGGAAGCATGTTCCAACATATTACCAGAGTTGTACAAATTCCATAGTAGTACATACACCCCGTCATCGTGAGGTTCTAGTTCAAGTGCTTTCCCGGCAGCCATTTCAGCTAATTCCAAATTTCTATTCATGACAGAAGCACTCAGAAGTGATCTCCATATGACAGCATCTGGTTTCATTGGCATTTGTTGAATTAACCGCACTGCTTCATCCAAATGACCAGCACGGCCAAGGAGGTCCACCAGACATCCATAATGTTCTATCTTAGTTGCACAACTAACATCATTCTTCAGCCGGTTGAATAATTCTTTGCCCTTGTTAACTAATCCAGCATGGCTACAAGCAGATAGAACTGAGAGGTAAGTAATCTCATTTGCAGTCACACCAGATTCCAACATCTCATCAAAAAACTCGAGGGCATTTCTTCCTCTACTGTGAAGTGCCAATCCTAAAATCATACTAGTCCACGAGAAAGCATCCTTCTTTATCATTCCCCTAAAAATCATCATAGCAAAATCAAGATCCCCACTTTTAGCATACATATCAATCAGGGCATTATTTACGCCAACATCCATAGCAGAACCAGCTGGTATTGTTTACATATCCATGAATAGACCTTCCAAAATCCAGAGCTCCAATATCAGCACAACCAGATAACACAGCAACTATTGTAATTGAGGTCAGGCTATCATCACCTTCCTCCCTCATTCTCTTAAACAGTTCCAATGCCCAAACCGGTTCTTTACCACGTACACATCCCACAATCATCACAGTCCACGAGATGGCATTCCTGTAGGACATTTCCTCAAACAACTTCCAAGCAGACTCGATTTCCCCAGAAACTACAAACCCATTGAGCAAACTAGTCCAAGTAGCTATATCCTTAACATGCATACTATCGAATACACGTCGAACCAACAAGATTCTCTCCGTGCGGCTTATACATATCGATCAGAGCATTATCCACAATAGGTTCAGGTCGATTAAGAAATTTATAGACCATAGCATGCACCGTTTTGCCATTACACAGGTCTCCCGTGCGGGCACAAGCTGAGAGTGCTGCAACAATGGAATGCGAATCAGGTTTTAAAGAAGTTGAAACCAGTAAGCTAGTGAACAGATAAAACGCTTTAGTGGGCTGTTGTAATTGCAAATACAGAGACAAAAGACAACTCCAGGAGACAATATCTGGTTGGGGAATTTGATCAAACACCTAATGGGCAGCAACTGGTTTGTTCAGTTTGGCATATATGTTAAGCAATTTGCAGGCAAAAGATTGATGAGATTGGGTTAAGAGACCCAATGTGATGGATTGAGCATGAATTTGCTTTATCAAATTCTCATGGTTTATACATATATCTAGTAGCCGTTTCAAAGTTGTAACATTACTACCAGTTTCTCACTGTTTTGAAACATCAAATTACCTACACTTCAATACTATGTCCGTTCACTCACAGTTTCATTTTACTAAGCAGAATATTGAGATAACAAAGTTTTGACATTATTATATTAAAGATTTGGAACATTAATATCCTATTAAGATGGAATAATATTAAGCCTTAAGTATGCTTGGAGGTTGATTAACTATAAATATAACCAACATAAATCCAGTTACATCTGACGATGCTTGACTAACAATGCAAATTTTGAATGGTATAATTAGCAGATATCTTCCCCGCCCGTTGCTAAATTTATTTATTATATTGCAATTCATCAACTGAAATGTGCAAATATAAAGAAAGAAATAGTTTTTTTAATTCAAAATGCATATAGGAAACAACGTCTATTACAATAGTTAATTATGCCCTCAATCTCCCAGAGATAACAAATTGAAGTCTTCTTTGAAGATAGTGAAGGGCAGAAAGCCATGTTTATTACACTATTTCTTCTTCTCCTCCTTCTGCTGCCGCTGCTGCTTCTTCTTCTTCTCCTTCTTCTTCTTCTCCCTCTGACGACGACGATGATGATGATTCAGATGAACTTTCTTCTGGGAAGGGAATATCTGGGCAAAGTTGTATACAAAATTTGATAAGAATTAGAAATGATTAAGACTTTTTTCAAGTAAAAAATTAGACCTACAAATTAGGAAACACCACCAAAGTCGAACAAAGAAGGCACACAATGTGTCTATGTAAATGTCCATTTATCTCAGTTGACATGTTTTTAACTTTTAAATATAGATTTGAAAGGAATAGTGAATCCTGACCTTAAGTCTCATTTAAGGCATCACAAAGAAGTAAAATACAAAATTCAGCGGAAACAAACTGGTACCTTCGATGATAAATCTTCTGATGTCATCCAAATTTGCATCGATAAGCTCCTGATCATCAGCATCTATATCATCAGAGGGTGTGTGATGGGCACTAGCTAACGTTGGATGGAAGTAATACATTAGAGAATTAACTCCGTGCAACACTGCAGCATGTTCGTACCCATTGATATTAATATTATGCTCGTATAGATCATAATTCAGTGTCAAGGGACGTTGTACCAGAAAAGACACATGCTTGTTTTCGATCCATAATGGGAAGCCATGAATAAAGCCTTGCGGACCTAAAATAAAGTTGGCAAATTTGTGGGAAACCGTCCAACGTCTCTTTGTACTGCCATAAGTAGCAATGACTATGTGCATTCTGTAAACGCATACAAGGGTAAGTAAACCTTGCGCCTTCCCTAGCCATTTACTCTGACCAATCAAAATTTTACCATAGGTGAGATCAAAATTATCAAGAAACTCAGGACGGTCAATTAGTATAGCCTCTTCTTTATTCGTATCAAAAGCTAAAACACTACCGTCCGTTCTAAGGAAATACAGAGAACCGCGCCAATAAACAGCTCGACTACCATAAGCTAAAGATTGGACATTATTGGTTCTCAGTTGGATTTCTCGCCACAAGCCAGGTTGCTCCGATGAAAGTAGGTGAAATTTGTATAACCTGTAGGAATTTTCAAAAAAGCTACTGACGGTTACCAATTTGTATTGATCTGGATTCGGGTAATCAACCGCTAGACCTATTTTTCCTATACCATTTGGATAGGGCATTGGGTATGGTATCAATTGGTGCTCTCCAGTCACGGGATTAAAAACACAGTAACGACTGACTAGTTCAAAGTCAATGAGAATGAGACCATTACATGAGGCCAATATATCCATATAATCAGGTATACTCGACTCAAGTTGAGTGATTGGGTTTAAGGAGAATTTGTTGAATCTTCTTCGTGCTCCTCCATCATATTCTGTATAGATGAGTTGTGTAGAAGTGTTTTTATGACGTTGGAGCAATAATTGGGCAAACTCAGAATTAGAAATCATACTTCTAAAATTCTGGTTTAAAAGTTTACATTGAACCACACAATTCAAGGGCAAGCGGGAGAAGATCTCCCCAAAGACATCTATCTTAGATTCCATAACATTATCTGCCATTTTATTCTTCTAAACTATTTTTGTTACGTTGGAATTTTTTGTTTAAAAGAAAAGAGTCCTATTTATATAATACAGCCGTTACTACAACTAAATGGTGTGTCTTTTAGACGAAAAAATGTAATTTAAATGAAAGGGTCTGTTGTTTCGTTCTTCTGTGAAAGGATGTGTTGTTTCATTCAATTTGGTTAAAAACAACTCTAACGTAACTTTTACAGTGAAGAAGAATTAATATCCTGTACAACAACCGTCTACAAAAACTCTCGTTCTTCTCGGAACTCATGTGATCAAGTTTAACTTAAAACACAATTAAACAACACAACTTTTGTTGATCAAAATTGATAGAATGTAAGACTGCCCTAATAAGAAACTAGGAAGGTTGATTTTTGTTATTGACCACATGATCTCTGTTCAGGTTGTGAACTAGTTCCTGAGTAAGCGACATTATCAGAAATAGGTTTACCTTTGGGGAAAAAAAACGAACCCGATTAGATGAAAATAATCTTGTTTATTTTCTTGGAGAGCAAGCAATTTAGAAATGATCTGAGAAATAAAGATACTTTACTATGGGCCTAAAAATGAAAAGTGTATCTCATTTTCTTTTCTTTCTTATTTTAAATTTAGCCAATTTTGCGGAGTTATATCACTTTTCGACTTATGAATAATTTGAGTGTTAGCATTTCATATCCATTATTGTATTGATGCTGAAAGGATGTGTGAATATGTCCAGATCAACTATGCATACTTAAAGGGATTTCTTGGAGTCCTAATATGGAGAAATTATCAATGAGGTAGAAAGTGACAGGTTCTTCATAATTGTTATAAAAAAAATTGATTCTTCTATATCACATATTTGGACCTTTTGATTCATCTATCACAATTTTTTGACCTTGAATCAATGTTTCTTTTATGGACAGAAACACAAGGGAAAATGGAGCTTCGAGGTTCGGCGGGTGATTATTAGGTGGATTCGAGTTTGGGTTGGGATTTGATTCGTTCAGATTAATTAAATTTTCAACGAACCACAGGCTGCCACATATTAAATGAAAACTCGAATTTTATATGTTGACAGAGTTGTTTGTGGTAAGGGTATTATAGGGTCGTAACGATTGACGTCAGGAGTATTATAGAATCAATAGGTCAATGGAGCGTATTTTTGTACCAATTCCAATAGTTTAAAGATATTTTAGACGCTTTTCCGTTTTTATTATTTATTTTGAGAATGGTTTAAATTTGGAACTATCACATTAAGCAATATAATAAAATAAATATTTAATAATTTTACTTTGAGAGAGCTATTAAAAATAAGGGCAAATATAAGTCAAAGGATTAACATTGAAAGTATTTTTGAGTCAAAAGGTGAACATTAAGAATATTTTAGCATCGATGGATAGATAGGGATTATTTTGTACCAATTAAATACTTTAAGGGACATTTTAAACTCTTCTTAGCTAATAGAATAGATGAGCTGTGTAGAATTTCTTTATGACTTTAATAATCAACATGAGAATCATACGTTTAAGATATTTGGATAGAAATTTACATTGAATAACAAACTTCAAAGGCAAACTGGAGATAGCCTTCCCTATAAGTATATCGTCCTGCAATTCCATAACATATGTAGTTATTTTTCTCTCTTCTGTTATCGCTTGTTATGTTGAAATTTTGTTTAAATAAAGAGTTTTATTTAAAGGTCTTTATTTAAAGGTAGAGGAAGAAAAAGGTGTCTTTTTAAATGAACGAGTGTCTTTTGGAAACCACTTGTTTTATTTGAATTTAATAACTATTCAATATTAACTTTCATTGCGAATATATTTCTTCGGTTAAATAATAATTATTTTAAATAAAAAGAGTTTTTTTTAAAAAAAAAATGAAACAATGTGTCTTTTGGAAACCACTTATTTTATTTGAATTTAATAACTACTCAATGTTAACTTTTATTGAGAATATATTTCTTCGATTAAATAATAATCATTTTAAATAAAAAGAGTTTTTTAAAAAATAAAAAAAAATTGAAACGATGTGTCTTTCGTTCTCTGGTTATCACTAATTTTCCATTGATTGATAACTTACCGTAATTTTCTACTAATGTGCATTCGAAGAGATTCAACATTATTATTATTATTATAATAATTAACGATTAATATACTCTCCGTCTCTCTCCATCTAATTTTACTGGTCCAAATTTACTTGGAACATCTTTTTAAAAAAAAAATAGATAATTTTAGTATATATTATAAGTTATTAATTTAAAAATAAATAGTATTTAATAGCAAGGATAAAATAAATACAAAATAATAAATTATTCCTTTCCAAACTAGACAAGTAAAATTGACAATTGTTTTTAGTATATTTGCCAGGTAAAGATGCACGGATGAAAACTAATTAATACGAAATGTTTTTTTACTTTTTACTATTAATCAGAATGCCAGTTTTATATTTGTATACAATAAAAAAGTTATATAGTAGGAGTAGTAGTATATGATCGAAGGCCAAAGCTATCACTTCAATTAATTTCTATGAATAGTAAAGTGCAGCACCTAACAACCTAAGGTTGAAAAGATTATTATTTGAATGGAAATAAAAATTAAAGCGCAATATAAAAAATATATCCAATGAATAAAACCATAAATATTGTCATTTATTTTGATCGATTGTACATCTTTCATGATCTTTGTTTATAACGGTAAAATTTTCATTTAGTTTTATTGATTGTATTGAATTCTTTCATGAGCCTTAATTCCTATTTGTAAAGATTGTCATTTATATTAATTGATTGTAATGATTGTTTCCCCCTATCCTTATGCATCCAACCTCTTGATATGGCCATTCAATAATGCTAGAATACTACCATCATCTCTGAGTCAATGAGTCTAGCTTCTTCTCTCTTTGTATCAAAGGCAATCTGTGGATAATCTTCCCCAGAAGTATATCATCATTCAATTCCATAATATATCAATATTGGAATTTTGTTTAAATGAAGATCTAGTTGAAAGAGAATGGAAGAGGGGTTTTATAAATGAAAGGATATGTGGTTTCATTATTTGATAACCACCCGTTTTATTTGAATTCAACGGCTACTTAACGTTAACTTATTTCTTAGTAACCATCCGTTTTATTTGAATTCAACGGCTATTTAACGTTAACTTATTTCTTAGTAACCATCCGTTTTATTTGAATCCAATGGCTACTTAGCGTTAACTTATTTCTTAGTAGCCATCCATTTTATTTGAATTCAACGGCTACTTATCGTTAACTTTTACTGAGAAATAAATTTCTCAGTAACCACCCATTTTATTTGAATCCAACGGCTACTTAACGTTAACTTTTACTGTGAATATATTTCTAAGTAATCATTCATTTTGTTTGAATCCAAAGGCTACTCAATGTTAACTTTTATTGAGAATATATTTCTTTTGTTTAAATGGTAATCTATATCTATATCTATATCTATATTACCTTAAAAGTATGAACTCCTAACTTAAATGTTAAATTACTATAATATTCCTAATGTGACTTTTTCGATAAGTTGCGATTTTTTTCAAAAGGGTTATGAATTATAGTAGGAGTAGTAGTACTTGATCGAAGAGCAAGGATATCGCTTTAATTTCGACTAATAATAAAGTGTAGCACCTAACGATCTAAGGTTGAAAAGATTATTTGAATGGAAAAATAATTAAGGGGCCATAAAAAAAATACAAGATTGTCATTTATTTTGATTAATTGTATAGAAGTCTTTCATGATTCTTATTCATAATTATATAAAGATTGTCATTTATTTTAATTAATTATTTTGATTTTTTTCCTTATCTTTATCTATCCATCTTTTTGTA